TATAGACAATATAGATATGGATATGTAGATGCAGATATCTGTCAATCTATTCTAATACGTATGGTCTCAAACATCTACTTCCCTAGGCACGCTTTCTCAAACCGCTAAAGCTCTCTTCTACCAAAATAAGGCACATATTATTAATTGGGTTAAATGTGAAAGAAAACACACTCATTATCACATAACTAAAGGAAGCTTCGAGGTGATCTTTTTAGCATAGCTAGTTCTAACCTCTAAATTTTAATAGGACTCTGTCTCTAAGTGGTTTGTCAGTTGACTGCTTTCCTTCCTGTGGCTTCATTCTCAGGTAGACTCCTGTCCTCACTCAGAAGGCTCCTCCCTCAGTGTCCTCCAGAAAGGACAATCTCTGGTTCCCTTGAGGTCACATGTCTCCCTGAATCTCTCTCCCCTCTCCTTCTCGCCCCCCCCCCAAAAAAAAACAACCAAATCACTGGTCGTTTCTCATTTTGTTGAACTATATCTTTTCTTCTTTTAATAGAGGGGTGAGATCATGTGATTGACAGATAAAAGCAGATCCATAAAAAGAAAGAGATGAATTCTGTGCAGAAAAACACAAAAAAACAATCTAATCAAACAAATACAGAAAAACAGATGCCTGCTAGAACAACTTTTGCTTCTATAAAATTTTATAGCTAAAGCATATTTACCCAGGAAATAATGAAGTAGTCTATGCATTACAAATGCTTGTGACAAATGTGACTGATGTTTACTAAGATTTGCATTTATCAAAACTTTGCGCCATTTTCATCTTCTCTGTGAGAAATAGAATGTAATGGGTGCACTGATTTAAAACCAGAGTGAAATGTACTTGAAACACATGACTTCCGCAACTTACAAAAATACCTTCCCTCAGCTGTAATATAAAGATATGTTCTTTATTTCTGTTTACATTCTAGATTTAAGAATTAAACATTCAACAAATTTGGTTCAGAGATTATGTTTGAATATAGAGACAAACTATCATTTAATGTGTGTTTTCACAAAAATCTGACTTTATTTTTTCCCCTAGGAACATATCAAACAAGCAAAAAAGCAAGTACACAAGCAAGTACACATAATTTATTTTTGAAAAGAGTGAAAACAAATATACAGATTTGTCTTCCCCTTCCATATCGCCTAGAAATCTAAACTCAGAAGCACAATTCATATTGCTGACAACATCCATTTCATTCTGGTTGTTTCCAATATGGTTTGTGTTTTATATTTCAAGGTATTGTTATACTGGAATGAATTTATGATGGTATAATGGTTAGAAACAGAGTTTTAATGTATCTTGGGCTCCTAATACTTTTATAATCTAAATGTTACGTAAAACCTAAGCTTCAATGTTTTCATGATAAAAGAGGGGTAATAATGTCTACGTTGCCAGAATGTTGTAAGAATTTAATGAGATAATGTAGTTACAGCATTTAGCTCTATGACAGACATGTCCATTCATTGTTATGCATACTAATTCCCTAAAACTTACCAAACTGTGTTACATATCGGTTATTATCATTTGTAGATGCAAAGTTGAATGAACAGACAGAAAGTAGAGAACAGATGTAAACTATGGTCTCATGAAGTCTATGTCATGAAATGCCTAATAAATGGGGATTATAATTTCTAAAACTGTAGCTATGAAGACACATGCTACTTTATCAGGACCCACTCTGTATAACCTTATTTATAAAAATCATGAAATTAAGTTTCATTTGCTTCAGATTAATCGGATTGTTTTGATAAACCTATGTATAGCATATAGGTCATATCTCCATTACTTGACCAGCCCTGTCTTTTTTACATGCATTTATCTTTGACACAAGTTTTAAATTAGGCTATATCAAGATAAGCGATAAAACAGAACAGATGGAAATCCTTCCTACTATAACGTTAGTGTGGCATAACTAGCCTGAGACACCCTTGTGTCACACTCATACTGCTGCAAGGTCATTGTGAATCAATTGAAACGAGTTCAAGTCTATCTTTGCATCCAACAGAGTGGTAAGCACAGTGTTTCATATTCCAAATAAGTATTTTTGGAATGGAAATGAATTATACCTATAAGGATTGGGTGGTTAGACACCACTATCATCCTAATTGAGCAAGTTCCTCAATTTTCTTGTTTGCAAAATGAAAGGGTTAAACAAGATGATCGTGCAGGTCCCTGTCCTGTCCACAATTGCACTTCAATTTACTTTTATCACTGTTCTCATTAGATGCTGTTATATTTCCATTAGATAGTAAAAAATCCGATATATCATTTCATTTATAGTGCCTATTTGACGCATTCAGACACCCAGTAAATATTTGTTGAATAAGTAAATAACTTGATCCTTATTATGTTTATAATACACATTATAGTAATTTAATGCGTTAATTACACCATGCCTTATTTTTATTATTGAATTGTACTCATTTTCTCCTAAAGCATTTGGGAATGCATAATGTGTGATTGGGGAAATGTAGTATTTTTATGAGGGCTGTTTGATAAATTATTGAGTAAGGATTTTCAGCACACCTGCACAAACTCATGTGAAAGCAGAAGATAGAAGTTGTTTGCCTAGCGGAAAAGTGCCACAATGATAAAACCAGGTATCTCTGTTCTGTTTCATTTCCAGATGGTCTAATGTTACAAAAGTTGAGTCCCACTAAATTATGGTGGAAATGTGTGTTCTTTAAAAACAAACCTGCATAAATTACTTCGAAAATTCAAGGGACTGAGTTTGCACTATTCACACAAATAAATCGCACAACTAACAGTGAAACTGAAATTAAATATCAGTGACTTCTCTTCTCCTTTGGTCATGAAGAACATTAGGAAATCTTTCTTTGAAAAGAGCAGCCTGTCCAATATATCATACGTTTTAACTTTCAAGTCAAAGTGATGGAACTGGTTAACAGAAGGCAATGTGTTTGAGAATGCAGGAAGATTTGTGGATTAAAACAACATCCATCACTTTAAAGAATTATTGAAAAGCATATTTGTATGAATATATGATGAACTTAGTAAGGCAAAAGCTCTATTTTAAAGTACAGAAATGTAGCTTTTCTTTTATTTGTTCTAATACTCTTTTACCACCTTTGGGTGGTGTAGAGGATTCTAACTGCTGACAAAAATAAGCCCCACAATTTCAGGGACTTCAGCCAACAGAAGTGTATTTCTTCATCATGTAACAGTTCAATATGAGATAGTTCCTAGTTCATAAGTAGCTTTCCACTTCATGGCTGGTTATGGGCCCAGATTCCTCCTATTAGCTATGCCCTAGGGTTTCAGAATATTCTGCATTTAGCTAGCTGATGGGGGAATAGAAGGCACATGATATATACACAAGTGGTCCCATATAGGTGCAAGGCACCTGGGAATGTAATCCCTGGGAAGACAGCTACTTCTCAATGATGTCACTGTACTGTGGGCAGGGGAGCACAAATTTATGGTAGAAAATTAATCCTCTCTGCTTCATGCATTCAGGGTCATTCTCACATAGGGAATTAAATCATAGTCTTGCTTGTCTCAAAGTTTCACTTCATTCTGTCTTGAAACTCCATAAGAGTTTATTTTGTGTTGATTTTTTTTAATTGGGGCTGATAGGAATGATAAATACAAAAACGTTTTATAAGCAAATAGTCGATAGGTAAAAATATTTCCGTAAATCCATTGAGATTGCAGATCCATACTTTTTTTATAACATCCAGAATCTCCATATTTACAAAGAAATTTTGCTAATATCTGTAGTATAAATAGTAGTATTCAGTTAATATTTTCAGTTTTTAATAAAATGCACTCACATTCACTTCCTTGTTCCTCCCTTGTGACCATCTTTAGGAAATACAGGTAAGAGAATACAGCCTATATTCAATAAATAACAACTCTCTATTTCTACCTTCTTCCAAGATCTTAGTGACCACAATTCTAGTTTCTGTGTATTTAACTACTCTAGAAACCTCATATTGTTACCAGAAAGGGGGCCTGGCCCTGGGTGGTTCTGCCTAGGGCTGGCAGGTATGTGTGGGTTCTTGACCAAGCGTGATATTAAATAAGAATTCTATTTTTTTGTTTTTTAAATTCTCCACTTTATTGTCATCTGTGCAACTATTTTATCCTGTTTATATGTTAATCATTCTTCTTTGACCTCTGAATAAGTCTTGGTCAATGCTGGGGTCCAACCCCAGCAGGTCCAGGGGTCCCCAAAGGTGTGGACGGAATCGGTGAAGAAGGAATGACACGGAGACAGTGTTCAGTTGATAAGCAGCGTAGCCAGGATCTCTAGCCAAGTTCTGGTTAGGATCTCCAGCCAAGTTCTGGTTAGGATCTCCAGCCAAGTTCTGGATGGAGTCAGCAAAGAGGAATGACACAGGGGCAGCATTCAATTGATCAGCATGGTTGGGTTCTCTTGCCTGGTTCTATTGCCGGGTTCTGTATTCCCTGCAGCGACTGTGTCAAGCAGCAAGGATGGACCGGCTTCCGGCAGGTCAAAAGAGAAGGAAACCATACCGTGTTCTGAACACAGATGTTATAAAGAATATTTGACTACAATAGGAAAATGGAGTAATGCAGGATTGGCTCATAAGCAGTAAAGGAATCTTTAGAGAATATAGGAGTAACAAGTATATAAAATAAAATTGGATATGTAACATAACATCAGCTACCACCCCTAGGGCTGAGATGGAGCTCCTGGGGAAGTTTTCTTCACCATGTGAGGAAAACCCCTATTCTGTAAAACTACTGTTTGGAATTCTCTGCTATTCTTTGGACGGCCTCTTATTCTGAAAAAGTAACTTTGCTTTCTAGCCTGCTTGAATAGTGGGGCAGATAAACTTAGCTATCTGACCTTGTAGGCCAGAGACTAGATACACCCAATGCCATGCCAGGTGCAGTTTTTAATTGGATAGAACTGTATAGTTTTCAAGGCCGCTGCCAGCAAGCAGACAAAGGGCTGGCTCTTCTATAAAAAGGGAAGTTCTGCTTGTAGCTTTGCCTAGAATTTGGATTCATTTCCCTAAGCCCGCCGTGGTGAATAAAGTGTAACTCCAAACTCTCTGGTTAGGATCTGGTCCGGTTTTTCTGTAACAACCAGAAATGAGACCCAGACCATGACTGTGCTTGCTGGGTGATGGTGGGATTGCTGTGGTTCCGGTAGAACTTGCAGGAAGTCCACTCTGAAAGATGCCAGGAAAGGCTTTTCCCAGGGAGGTGCCTCATCAGATGTCTTCACCAAACGTTGTCCAATGCGGTTGCAGGCAGAAGGTGGTGGCTTTTGGGTGATGCTGGCTGCTGTAATTATAGGAGCCAGGCACTAGCAAAACCATGTATGTGCACTACAGGAAATGCATGCTATAGGAGCCGCTGGAGCCATACAGGCAGCCAAGTGAGCACACCTACAACAGGAAACAAACCATTTCCTCCTGCGGTGTCTCCCCATCTCCCTGGACTGAGAAAACTTAGCAACATGGCAGCTGGAAAAGGAAACAAAAATGTGAAGAACCAAAATTCATTTTTTAAAATATATTTTATTGATTTTTTACAGAGAGGAAGGGAGAGAGATAGAGAGTTAGAAACATCGATGAGAGAGAAACATTGGTCAGCTGCCTCCTGCACACCTCCCACTGGGGATGTGCCCGCAACTAAGGTACATGCCCTTGACCTGAATCAACCCTGGGACCCTTCAGTTCGCAGGCCGGCACTCTATCCACTGAGCCAAACCGATTAGGGCCAAGATTCATTTTTATAGAGCAGGCAAAATGGGTGAATTTGGAGCTGAGTCAATAAATTATTAACTTGGCAAAGCCTTTTTTTGATACTTCTTCCTTTTTTAGTGATACACAGGACAGAGAGCTCCCCCTCCCCCCTTTCAAATTTTGCCTGTCATTTCTTGTCACTGCACATAAGTGACTGTTTTGTTCCATTGTATGCGCCTCAACTTGCAAAGCATAGGGAATATTGAAAGAACTCAATGGTTGTTATTTTTTTTATATTTTGATCAACTGCATGTTTTTAGAACTCAGTCTTAAGCATCAAGAAGTTGAGGAGAGGGGGTTGTGATAACAAAGTTAAAGGATTCATTTTAAATTCAAATTTATTTTAAACTATAAAAATTATATCCTATCTGGCATCAGCCACAGTACTGGTCATAGAAACATGACTCCTGAAATATTACATTATCATGAATTATAAAAGATAGCATTAAAATAATATGAATAAGAATATTTTTTATCCTGGATAAGAAAACGTACTCTGCAAAAAATGTTTTCAGGTTCCTCTATTCTGCTTTTTCTTCCTCTTAATTCTCAATGGTTGTTTTTAAGTTAGTGAGTAAACGCTGAATAAGGTAATACCCAATGCTAAATCCCAGCATGATGCTTTCCCTTAACTCCTGGGCACATGCACCTGAATGTCCTACAGGTCCTGAGGCCTGAACTCCTCTTCTACAACCTCTCTATTTGTCAATGGTCATTTCCTGCTCAGTGACCCTAGTTAGAAACCTGGAAATCTCCCTTTCTCTCCCCTCTCCCCCCACTTTTCATATTAAATCAATGTATCGGGGTTTAGGGACACTATTTCTCACTTGTTGATCATGTTCCCTCCTGAGATTTTCTTGGTTCAGGCTCTTGTGATAGCTCTTCTGGATTACTGTGGTGTCTTCCCTGCGGGCCTTTTTCTGCCGTCAGTTTTGCAAGCCTCTGATTTATCCTTTAGACTGTTGTCCTTGCTACCTAATAAAATGCAAATCTCATCGTGTACAGTACCTGCTTTGTTTGATCCTTCTGAGGTTTTCTGTGGCTTAAAGCGGTGCTTTTCAGCTTGTGCTCCTAGGAACCCCTGGGTGAATATGGTGACCTTAAGGTGTTGTGAATAAGAAAAGAAACAGAGAGAAAGATTCTGAGACCCACTTTTTTGTTTCTTGCTAAGCAGCTTAGCACTATCTCTTGTATATATTTTTGTAAGATTTTCATTTGAATAATGTGTTTCACTACAGGCAACTATAACAAAATTGCAATGAAACAATTTTGTAAACAATCTGGATTTTGACTAATTTTCAGCCTGATATAATACTTCATACCCTGACTAGAAAGAAAAAAATCAAACAGAGCCATACTCAATTATTCAAAATTCCCTGAATATGCCACAGGTATATTCACTCTTCCAAAAAACAACTTGAGTGTCTACTGTGTGTCAGCTACTCTACCAAATGCTGGGGACATAATGGTGATAAAAATTTCAAAAACCCAATACATTAAGTATTAAAACATAGAACATAAGTATATGAGAAGCACTCTGGAATTTAAAAAAAAAAAGTCTAGAAAAGAGAGATAGGGAGTTTGAGAGATATCATTTTAATTATTAACATGATGGCCAGAGACATTCTAACAGGTTGTGGAATATGAGTCAAGTGTCAAAGTTGGTGAGCAAAGCAAGCAGTCTAGATATCTGAGGGAAGAGCTTTCCAAGCAGGGAACAGAAAATGTCAGTTTCCGCAGGGTAGGGTAAATCTAGAGTATCGGAGAAACACCATAAAAGCCATTGTGGCTAGAGTAGAGAACTAGGCAAACAATGTAGTGGGAGATGAGATCCTGGACAAGATGGGAACCAAAGTGTAAAGACCAAGTAGGTCACTATAATTATTGTGGATTTTTTTTTCTTTCTCAGGGTGACACGCTGTGTAGTTTCCTAGGGCTGCATCAACAAAGCAGCACAATTTGGGTGGATTATGTAAAACAACATATATTTATTCTGTCACAGTTACGGAGCCCGGAAGTTCAAAATCAAGGTGTCAGCAGAGCCATGCTCCCTGTGCAGGCTGTAAGGGAGGGTCCTGCTTTGCCTCCCCCTACCTTCTGGTGCTGACCATCAATCCTTTGCGTTCCTTAGCTCGTATCTGTATCCCTCTAAGCTCTGCCTCTGTCACCAACTGGCATTTCCCCTGTGGGACTCCCCCTCCTCTTTTCATGAGGACAGTCATATTGGTCATGCTCCAGTATGACCTCATCTATAATAATAAAAGGGTAATACACCAAATAGACCAGACATCTTCCAGACATCATTCCGGACATCCTTCCTGACAAAGCTGGGGCTGGAGGGAAGCTGGCCAGGGTCTTGGGTACCTGCCAGCAGCCCGAGGAGGGAAGCCTGGGTCCTGGGTGCCAGAGGGAAGCTGGTGCCGGCAGCTGGGGGAAGGAAGGCCTACTCTTTTTTTTTTTTTTTAAAATTAAAAAAAAAAAAAAACCCCAAAAAAAAGCCCCTCCACATTAGACAGACGCCCAACAATACCCATGGCCTTTTTTTTTGGTCTTTTCTGTATATTTTCATTTTCAAATCAACTAAACCAATTTGATGCTTAAAAGACAGGAACTATTTCATATATATATATTGATCCTGGGGATGGGCAGGGGCGGGAAGAGGTTGCTCAGTAGCACCAGGTGTTCCTGTCCACAGTAGGAGAGCCGTGTGGTGAGGACACGGCACACAGCAGGGCGCGAACTTGCCTGACTAACCGAGGGAGGAAGAGAAGATGGGGAAGAAAAAATGTATGGGCCGGCTGATCCGGGCATCTGGGACTTAAAATTTACATAAAACTGTGCCATGTCCTCGCTCGGTGCTGTCTGCCTGCCTGTCTCTGCTCCGGGAAGGACTGGTCAGTGTGGTTGGGAGAAGGCTGAGGTTCAGCGTCATCTTCATGATGTGCGTGTGTCTTCTTTTCCAGCTGAGAAACTTTTTAATTTTTTTTTTTTTTTAAAGAATCACAGCCAAAAGAAGACATTAACTGCACAATCCAACACGGCTGCGCTTCCCCGATGTATAAAAACACACGAGTCTTGGCCTCTGGCCGGGGAGCCGGGCCCGCGGGGCCCCCATTACACTTTCCCGGGAATCTTGGCCCGCTTGCGAGCGATGGCGTCCTCCAGGCTTGGAGCTGCCTTAGGAGCTCCTCCCGCCTG